CTGGCGCAGCTAAAGAAGAGAGAAATGGCATAGAGATCACAGACGACCAAGAGAAAGAGGCGCAGCCTGGAAAAAGTTGCCAGCTGGTGCCCCAGCCCAACAGGACTAGCAGACCAGCTGGAGCTTCCGAGGCCGGCGAGGGGGCCCTAGGGGGAGAGGCGGGGTACCTAGGGGGAGAGGCGGGGCCCCTAAGGGGAGAGGCGGCCCTAGGGAGAGGCCGGGCCCCTAAGAGAGAGGCCGGGGTACCAGGGGAGAAGGCCCGGGGTACCTAGGAGGAGGCGGGCCTAGGAGAGGCGGGGTACCTTAGGAGAGGCGGCCTAGGAGAGGCGGGGACCTAGAGAGGCCGGGGCCTAGGAGAGGCGGCCCTAGGAGAGCGGCACCTAGGAGAGGCGCCTAGGGAAGGCGTACCTAGGGGAGAGCGGGGCCCCTAGGGGGAGAGGCGGGTACCTAGGGAGAGCGGCCATAGAGCAGAGCGCTTCTAGGAAAGGTGGCCTAGGGAAAGGCGGCCTAGGAGAGCGGCCTAGGAAGAGGCGGACCTTTAGGAGAGCGGGGTACCTGGGGAGAGGCGGCCTAGAAGGGGTGTACCTTGGGGAGAGGCGGGCCCCTAGAGAGGCGGGGTACCAGGAAGAGGCGGTGGCACCTTTAGGGAGGAGAGGCTGGGCCCTAGGGAGAGCGGGTTACCTAGGGGGAGAGGCGCCCCTAGAGAGGCAGTACCTAGGGGAAGAGCGGGTGAGTCGATTGCTACGACTAGGGGTTGTGCTGCTGACCACTAGGGTGGTGGTATATGTCTAGGCGAGCGCCTCGGTTAGGAGAGAGCGGGACCCTAAGGTACCTAAGAAGCGGTGGTAGAAGTATCCTAGTCAAATGTCAACCATGTGCTGGGTTGATGAGCATACCGCCTGGAGAGGCGGGCCTAGAGGCAGAGGCGGGGGCCATATGACGCTGTCACCTGTAGGAGAAGTGTTCCTTGGTTACCAGCAGTAGGAGAAGGCCAAGTATAGTGGGATGTAGGTGGTGGGAGAGCGGGCCGCACGGGTGGAGATGGGCGTGGGGGGAGAGCGGGCCGCCCGCGGAATGGTCGGGAGGTGGGTGAGGGGGAGATGGCGTGGGGGAGGAGAGGCGGGGCCGCCAGCGGGAGATGTGGGGTGAGGAGGCGGGGCCGCCAGCGGGGAGATGCGTCGGGAGGTGGGGCCGCAGAGGGAGAGGTGGGGGGAGAGACGGGCCACAGCGGGAGATGGGTGGGGGAGGAGAGGCGGGCGCCAGCGGGAGATGGCTGGGAGAAGGCGGGCCGCAGCGGGCCGGGCGAACAAGTTATCCGGCGTGAGCTCTGCCCCGCAGGTCTGACGGTTACGCGTCGGCTGCGCGGTCCCAGTGCGAAGTCCCCAGCACCTCCCCCGTGGTAGACTGCTAGTTCTCTGCCGCTCACCGCAGTGCGATCGTTTGCGGCTGCTGTGGGCAGTCTCTGATTCCATTCCGTTTGATAAATGAGAGATAGATTAACTAGAATTACACTTTCACATAACATACGTTTTCTTCTTGAAAACACCCTGCATGGAGGAAGAGGCTTTAATATGGCTAATACACAATATTTCATTGATCCAGAAACTCATTTCTTGCGGCAAGTTTTTAAATCTCGGAATAAATCCTAACAGCGGGCAAAGTTACTTATCCCATGTTGCAATGCTAGGCCTATAAATATACCTTAAATTTGCCGCGCCTATTTTCTATTTGAATACGATTTGATTTGCATCTGACAGTTCTGCTGAAATATTTTGAGGTTTTAGATCTTAGTAGAACTCTTTTATGACTATTTATTACATTGATTCTTATCCGATGTGTAATAAATCATGTCCCCAACCCAAAACTCCATACATTTAAATCCTGATATTTAACAGACTTTATCACAGCTGTTGATTCTATCTCTTCACACCAGTGTGGTAAAAGCTTTCTGCTGTATTTAATTTGTTCATTTTGAAAATCATTAAAATGCTTCATTTTCATCAGCTAACGTTTGAAGAATGTGTCCGTTTTGGGGGACACATTTGGGGGAAGAGTTAGGCTAATGTCATACTCTGCCAGAATAATTGTCAAACGGGTTTGCCTTTTCTTGAGTTTTTATTCTCAAGGCTAATTATTTGTTGAGGTTAATATATTTGAACAGCTTCTAGGTAGAAGAATGACAGGGAAAATGTCTGATTTGTGCATGATCTCTGGCCCCGACCATGACTAATATAAAAATCCTAGGGCTTTCCCAATGTGGAGGTGGTGAGGAGAGTGATATCTTACCCCAGACCTCCTCCCCTTACCATGAGTAAATGGAAAAACACTGTGGCTGTAAATGACCTTCTGAGGTTCAAATGGCAATCTACTTTCACTTCTTTTATTTTGGAGGTGGAAATTTTAAGCTCCCGTTTTTGTGGTTTAGACAATTTTTAAATTACTTTGTTGAGATTTTATGATGTGATGGTTGAATAGTTAGCACTACTGGTGCTTGTAGGGGATGCTTTATAAATACATTCTGTCACCACAACTCACACTGTTAATAATTTAAAATATATTGTGTTACACTGTGGTTTCAGTGTACGACATTTTATGACCAAAGGGATTTACACTTTTCTCAGGGGTTGCTTTTAGGGATAACAAACTTTCAGAGTTCAGCAGCCCTGGTTAGATAGAGAATATTGAAGTCACATGCTGTTTGTGCCTGTTCAACTGAACCCCCTCACTGTACCATGACAAAGCTCTAATTCATTTTGTAAAACAGCTTATTTTCCAAGGGGCAGCATAGCCTGAGATGTGGCAAGAAATAAAGAAAGGCAAAACCATTACACATTTGTTGCAATATTCTGTTAAAAGAGACAATCTATAGTCACCATAATGTATGGATAAACAATATTGCATCTTACAAGATGGTATTTATATAATCGAGACCAATATATACAAATGCTGAGTTATAAGTTATCATTATAAAAACTAATATTAATGCTCTTGTACCTTATTATAACAAACTAGAATGATTTATCTCTTTTTGATCATAAGATTTATAATTCCTTTGTGCATTCATTCATTCATTCATTCTACCCATTAACTCTACATCATTAGTCACTAGGGAAATGCAGTCAAAACCACAGTGATACACAAATTCACCCCTACTAGGATCACTATAACAACAACAACAACACAGAAAATAACAAGTGTTGGCAAGAATGTGGGGAAATTAGAACTCTCATATATTGCTGGTGGGAATGTAAAATGGTGTAGCTACTGTGAAAAACAGTTCGACAGTTCCTCAAAAAATTAAACATACCATATGATTGAGCAATTCCAATCCTAGGTATAGACTCAAAAGAACTGAAACCAGGGACTCAGATACTTGTACACCAATGTTTGTTAAAG